AGGAAGTTAAAGCTGCTGGTCCCCTTAATGACTGAGCCTAGAAGTCCCAGACAGTTAGTTCCAGGGGGTACCTATTAGTCAGTCCAAGTTACCAGGCTAGTCCTATCAAGGAAAAGGGTAAAATGCTCTTTTGTGTATCTCAGACTTGCTGTTCAATACTTTAGTTTGCCTCACATCATACAGTAAACATAGTGAATGGTGAAAATTCTAACTTACATGTTCAAATCTACATAAGAAAGTGCAAATGAAACAATCTTATTTCAAGTACAGTTAAGTGCCACTTGGTACCCTGCCATGCACTGCACTGTAATTCTCTACAAACCTTCCTAAGTCATAACCTCCATTAGGGCAGAACTCTCATCTACACTGCTTATACCTGTATTCCCAGTGCCTAGCATGTACCTGGTACTTAACAGACTGCTCTGTCTTAGTTATTAAAAATGTTCCTCTTTTAAAAATAAACTCTTTTCTTTAATACCAGGTAGAAAACATTTTCATAGATTTTTCCATGTATATTTTACAATGTGGCAAAAATATGCCCTTACTAAAGCTTTAAACTTAGTTATCCACTAAGAAAAAAGTATAACTTTACTATTTTTGTTACACAGAATTTGTAGGCAAATTTATTATCCACATTTAATCTCAAAAGAGATTTTATAATAGTGAGCAATTTACTTCTTGTGAATTATTTTTTGCTGCTTTCCCTGTAACTTGTACGAACACCTATCTTACAATTTTGAACAGTGTATTTTCTGATTGAAAAGACCCATTTTAATACAAGGTGCTATCCTAAACCACACGAAAAAGTCTAGCTAATAGCATGAGCAGACCATTTGAAAGTGTGAATGCTACTTATCAGTATCCAAACAGCCTTGATGGGTCCCAACAAAAGTATATATAAGGAGCTAATAAATGCTGCCCAGTTGAGTAGACACTATACTCAAATGGAGATAGTAACATATTTATCTCATTTCGTTCTCACTTTATAACCGCAAAAATTGAGACCAGTTGCAGTTAATATCATCTTATCCAAACTGATACACATTCCTGTGTGACCACCTCCCTCTGCTCTGTGGCTATTTATCAATATTTATCAATATTCATGACATCCAGTCATAATACCTTCCATGTTCTATTAGAACTGTTTGTGTGTCTACTACTAACATATTTGCAAGTAGAAGCTATCCCATTCGTGCTCAATAAATATCTGTTAAATAAATGAAGGAGTTTCTCATGACCCTACATACTTCTTGACCTTCTGCATTAGTATTTCCAGTCATTAATTCAACAAATGTACTTTAAGCATTAAACATCCACTACGTAGCAGACACACTGTTAGCTACCTGGGATACATGCGGAAACATCATTCTCTTCACAGAATGTATGCACAAGAGATAGTTTGGGGAAGAAATGTAAAAAGCTATGGGGCAGGTGGGTGAATGATCAAATCTAATCTAGTCTTAGCAACTAATACAGATTAATTTAGAAAGTGACTCCTATGCTAAAAAATGACGGATGAGGTGTTTACACAGAAGGAGGGAAAAAATAGGAGAGAACAGTATGAGCAAAGGCCTCAGGTCAGCCTCCTATGTTCCAGGGCACAGCGACAATCTCAAGATATGAGCTTCTACAAATATGAGTAATTCTATATTTAATGAACACAAAACAGCAAACTTTAAAATGAGAAATAATTTTTCTAGTTCCTCATGAGATTCTCAGATGTGAAAAAATAATCTGGTATAGTGATTCTCAAGTTTGACTTTATATCAGAATCTTCAGAGTATTAAAAAAAAATCTGATGTACATGGTTGATCCCAGACCAATTCATTCAAATCTTGGAAGGTATGGCCCAAGCATCAGGATTCATTTATTCATTCATATCTGAAACAAGGTCTCAACTCTGTTGCCCAGACTGGAGTGCAGTGGCATAATCACAGCTCACTTCAACCTCTAATTACGAGGCTCAAGTAATTTAACCTCTAATTACCAGGCTAGTACCTGGCTTTAGCTTCCTGAGTAGCTGGGACTATAGGAATGTGCCACCATGCCTGGCTATTTTATTTTTTTTTAATTTTTTGTAGAGATAGGGTCTTGCTATATTGCCCAGGCTGGTCTTGAACTCCTGGGCTCAAGTAATCCTCCACCCTTGGCCTTCCAAAATGCTGGGATTATAGGCATAGCCATCAAACCTAACAGCATTAGTATTTTTAAAATATTTTCTAGATAATTAAGTATAGTCAAAATTGATGACTACAAAAACTAAAAGGCTAAGAAGAGCTATATTAGCCATCTCCTCAGTCTCTTTCTGAAATAACCTCCAAAACTTGCCAATGGCTGACTTCTTGATATGCGAATGTTAGCCTAAACATTAGTCCTCACAGAGGCCCCTCTGACCCCATCATCTAAAGTAGTCACACACAGTTCATGTCTACCACATCATGTAGTACTTCTCTCCCTCCCTATCTGACATTTTTCCTCTTTATTAACTTGTTAGTTTCTCCACTAGGACGGAAGTTCTATGAGACCAGGAATCTTTGCTCATTGCTTTTATTTCCAGTAGAAGTTCAGCAAATATTTTATAGATGGAGAAAGGGAGTCAGAAAGCTAGCAGGCATGGAGGTACCTCTTCCTACAAATGGAATGAAACAAGTAATATCCTAAAGCTACAATTCTGATGAATTTAGGCTGGATATGATTTAGCTAAATTGAACAGTAGGGAGGGCATTTTAATAATCTACTTAAAACCAGATATGGGCTGTCTTCAATTTCCAAGCAGGAGGAGACTAAAAAACATAAATATTTAAGTGGGACTATCAACAAAGGTATGAGTTAAGTCTTCAGGAAGACGAAAAGGGATGATGAAACTACATTAAGTATTTCCACTAATGCCCTCCAAAACCAAAAAATGGTTTAAAACACAGAGTAATTTAGAATTCAGCTTGGGCATAAGGAAAAACTTGCCAAGATTATACTGAGACTAGAATGAGTACTAAAGAGGGGAGGTAAAAGTGAAATCCACGCAAGTCTCTAAGTCTGGTATAATATTACTTCTGTTTAAATGGCTCATGTACAAGTACTATCTAAAGCAGTGGTTCTCAACCTTCCTAATGCCTAAAACTTAACCAAATAAAAGTTTTAAGGCTAAAATAAATATGCTCATGCTTTTCCTTCTACACAGAACATATATTTAGGCCTGTCAAGTCATTAATAATCCATGAGTAAACTGAAGACAGCCAAATCCAGAAGGTATCTACCTACAGCATACCCTTAAATATGAGCTCAAAAGAGAACCTCCAAATGCCAATAGGACACTTCAACCTTCATTACATGGTGGACTGTCACTGTAAACCAGCAAGGTACTGAGTTTTCGCTTTCACTCCTGCCACTTCTAACAATGGAATTATCACTTCCCTAGCCATTCAGTACTTAACCTCAAAGCTTTGGAACTATGATCACTTCCACATTTAGCTAATAACCAAATCCTGTGAATTATTCTTTTATAGGAAAGGAAAAAAAAGATAGGAAATTTAGGGATTAAGAAGATTTAAGAGACACATCAACTGGCTCGGCACCTGTGGCTCAAGTGGCTAAAGCGCCAGCCACGTATACCTAAGGTGGTGGGTTCGAATCTAGCCCGGGCCCGCCAAACAACAATGACGGCTGCAACCAAAAAAAAA